CCTGATGCAGAGCACTCTCCAGTTGGTCTGGCGGCAGCATTGCACCCCTTGTATCACTCACATGTGTGTACAGCTTCTCCACACCGCTGAAGCCAGTCGCCCGCTCGTGGTGCTCCTTGATCACTCGGGGCAGCTCCTCGAGCGGCACCACGGGGCACCACCGCCACTCTCCGCTGCGCTTGACGCAGCGGCACAGGATGTCCTGACCGCCAGCGCCCTTCAGCACCTGGAAGAACTGCAGCACCTTCTTGCTGTAGTTCTTGGCGCCGCCCTGCACTGCCGCCCCCCCTCCCGCACCCCGCCGCCGCCGGCCTGAGGGCGCCTGCTGGTCGCCCTGCTTGATCCGGATGATGCCCTCTACATCTGACTTAGTGAGAAACACATTCTTGGCGCCGTTTTGGCGCCGTTCTAAGGCATAAAGGATGACAGGTTGGTTCATAATTTTAAATTTGCGGCAGCTGCGGGGTGCGGGAGGGGCTAAATAGAAGCCTTAGAGACTCTGAAAGGCGAAGGAAAGGGAGGGATCGCGGGAGAGAGCGTGCCTGATGAGCCAGACGAATCGGGGGAGGTGCCACATCAGCGGGCAACACATGGCGGGCCGGGGAATGCCTTTCTCATTCATCAAAGCAGCGTTTACCACCTCATCATCAACCCACAAGCTGGTGGCGTGATTGACTTGCGAAGGATCGCTTCTGCCTCGCACCTCCCCCCTGTCTAGCCGCCTGCAGCGAGCCAGGATCCGCCCGACAACCCTCCAGCACAGTGGGGATGCATGGAGGTCGTCGACTTGTGCGACAGCGAGGATGAACTGCCTCCGCCGCTGGTAGCCCGCCTCCAGCAACGAGAGACGACTGGTGTGGGCAAGCAGGCGCACACCAAGCAGCAAAGCGCGGCGCTAGCTCCGCAAGCGGCATCTGGGCGGCCGCCGCTGTTGGCGGTGCTGCAGAACCAAGCTGCACCAAGCAGCCAGCCCAGCACCGGCAGCATGCATTGGGAAGCCTCGCGGTCTCAACCGTCATATGCGGATGGCGGCGGCAACCTGCTGGCTGGGGCAGAGGCGCTGCGGCGGCGGCAGCAGGCGCGCGCGGCGCGCAAGGCGGCCAAGGACGCCGCTGCGGCGGTTGCGATCCAGGAGGATGCGTCGATGGGCAGCTGGCAGGCCAGCTCCCCGCAGCCTCAGTGCCGCCAGCCGGAGCAGGGTGCGCAGCAGGATGGGCCTGGCTGTGGTGCCAGCCCGGCGGCCGGACACCGCGACAGTCCCACCGGCGGGCAGGCGACCAGTCAAGTCGAGCCGGCGCAGCAGCAGCAGCAGCAGCAGGAGCCTTGGGAGCTGCCCTCTTGGCAGGAGCAGGGGCTTGATGATGCAGGCGGTGACGCGGACTGGCGCCCACCCGGCGGCAGCCAGCGCGCCAGGCGGCGGTCGTCTGCCGGGGCGGTGGCGCCGCTGGGCCCCGACCGCGGCCAGCAGCAGCCCGCCGCCAAGAAGCCGCGGCAGCCGAAGCGCACCAAGCAGGAGCAGGAGCAGGCACAGGCGCTCAAGGCGAGGGCGCAGCCTGGGGTTCCGGCCAGCCCAACGACAGGACGGCACGCTGTGTCTGTTGTTGGTGAATTGAGCAAGGCAGCATGCGGCATGGAGGGTGCAGCAGCAGCAGCTGACTGCATGGTAAGAGGAGCCAGCCCCCACGCCGCTGCCGCCTGCCCCTCTGGCCCCGATCGTGCCCTCTGCAGGTGCAGCAGCGCGAGGACCGCAAGCGCCTGAAGCAGGCGGTCACAGCCAAGTGGGCGCTGCAGCAGGTCCGCCTGCTGGTGGACGCGGCGCTGATGAGCAGCAGCGGCGGCGGAGGCTCTCTGGGGGTCAGCATGCTGGGTGAGCGGCTGCGGCGGGCGGGTTGGTCTCGGTTCCAGCGCGCGGGTCACGGTGGGCTGCGAGGGGGGCGGACTGTTGAGGGGAGGCCGGGAGGCATGCCCGGCTGCTGGGCGCAGCACTCTGCGAGGCTGCAACGCCGGGCTGCCTCTCGCACTTCTTGCAGGTCATCTGGACGAGCACAACAGGTCCACCGGGGCAGCTGCCGAGAAGGTGGTCAACTACCAAGTGTGCCCGCTGGACATGGCGCCCTTCCGGGTGCTGCGCTGGCAGCACAGGCGGCTGGCCGACGCGGCGGCGGCGCCCGCCTCGCAGCAGCTGCTGGTGGGTTGCGGGTCCTCTGGCTGGCGGCATGGGGCTGGGCGAGCAGCAGGACAGGCTCCTCTGCCCTGCCTGGGCTGGTTGCCTTGCCGGCAGGCATGCTTTCCCGCAACCCGCAACCCACCGCGTCCTGCCTGCTCTGCCCCGGGTTGTTTCCACACCTGCCCGCCTGCCCCTGTCCCCGCCCAACGACGCATCGCAGGCCAGCCAGGTCAGCGGCATGCCGTGCAGCCAGCTGGAGGAGCAGTGGGAGCAGGCGCCGCACATCATGGTCTGCATGCAGGTGTGTGTGGTGTGTATGTGTGTGGTGTGGTGTGTGTGTCTGCTGGTGGGGCTTGGGATGTTGGTGCCGGCGTGGCGTGTGCCTGCTGGCCTCCCCTGCTTGGTCGCCCACACCAGGCGCTCCGCCCCACCCCCGCGCCCATCTAACCCGCCCGTCTGGGCTGCGCACGCCTGCCTGCCTGCCTGCCTCGAGTTATGCCTTGCCCGACCCTCCCCCTCTCCCTCTCCCACGCACCCGCCCCTCCCTGCTCCCGCGCCGCCCCCTCCTCCTCTCCTGCAGCCACAGGAGTTTGTCGACGCCGTGCTGCATGACCGCCTGGCCTCCCTGCTGTCCCTGCTGGAGTCGCGCGCCCCGGGCCACCGCCCCTACCTGCTGGTCTGCGGCCTGGCCCACCACACCCTGAAGCACGACAGGCGGCAGCACGACGCCTGCATGCGCGGCGGTGGCGCGGCGGTGGGAGGCGCGGCGGGGGCGGGGGTGGGGGCGGGCGCGCAGCGCGCCGTCAGGGCAGTGGTGGAGGAGTTTGTGACGGAGCTGGCGGTGAGGTGCCCCCGCTTGGGCTTCCGAGACGTGGTGGATGCGGCGCAGGTGAGGTGTAGGCTGGGCAGGGCAGGCGGGCGTTGGAGGCGTGCGGAGGCGCAGGGGGCATGTGGTGGGGAGCGTGGCGCGGCGCCGCGCGTGGGACGCCTCGCGGCAGCCGCCGCTGCCAAAGCGCGTGCCGCCGCCGGCTCCAGGCCGCCCTTCCGAGCATGGTCCGGGGCCTGCCGCTGCGTGGTGCAGGCGGCGCAGCACGTGCGGCTGGTCACCGCCGCCATCGCCTCGGAACGGTTCAAGGACACCGTGCGTCGGGCTGGGGCGGCGCCCGTGCCTGCTGGCATGCTTGGAAACAGAACACGGCAGCTTTGGGAGGGGTGGCCTGGCCTGCCTGCTGCCGCATGCATGCATGCCCACGGCCGGCGTGCTGCTGCCCGCCTGTGCGTGCGCTGCAATGCAGGAGGGGACCGTCTGGCTGCGGGCGCACGACAAGAGCGGCAACCAGGTGCGCACGGCTGCTGCCGCCTGCAGGCTGATTGGTCGGGCGCATCTCCCAGGCGGCGCCATGCATGCACCTTATCATCTTATCCATTCGCCTCCTTTAGTTTTAGTAGGGTTGCAGAGCATGAGTGTCATCCTCCTGGCCCCACCTGTACGCTTCCCCCTGCTCCCCCTGCCCCTCAGGCCCTGACCAACCACCTGCTCAACAACCAGCTGGACGACCCAGGCCTGGAGCCCTTCCTGAAGAGCATCACAGCGGTGCCCGCGGGTGGGTGTGGGTGTGGGTGTGGTGGGCAAGCGCCACGCCTGCTGCTTGGATTCGCAGGCAGCATGCAAGCACAACAGGCGTATGGTGCCCAGCCTGCGTCTCTCACGCACTGCAGTCGCCTCCATCACGTGCCGCCCCCTCCCCTGATTGACAGAGATTGGCCGCCGCCCCCGCCCATGCCACCACCCACCTGCCGCTGGCCCCTGCAGTGCACCCCAGCGTGGCGCATGTGCTGGCCACGCGGTACCGCAGCCTGGGCGGCCTCATGGATGCCCTGCTGGACCCCACCAGGTGGGCCCCGCTGCCCAGCAGGCCGCCGCCACTGTGTGGGAGGCTCTGAGGCTCGGTCGTCCACCACAGCCATGTCATGAGGAGCCAGCTGTCAGCACAATGACGATAGCGCACGGCGCCTTCCAAGGAACAGGCGCCTACTTGCGTGTCCTGTGACCGCCTCCAGTCCTGTGCCTTCCCGCGCGCAGGTCTGATGCGGCCAAGGAGAAGGAGATAGCGGGGGAGATGCGGGTGGGCACCGCCACGGCGCGCCGCGTGGGCCCCGCCGCCGCGCGCAACCTGCTGCAGCTGCTGCGCTGCGACGACCCCAACCTGCGGGTCAAACGGGATGGGAAGGAGGAGGCGTGATGCGGGGCCAGGGGCGTGGCTGCAGGCAGCCAGACAGCCTGCTCGGCAGCCGACCTGCACCGGATTGCCTCTCCACCGGATTGCGTCCACAATGTATGAACGCAACGCCCCACTGTACATGATACTGACTGTAAAAGCTGCTGCCTTCTCTGCTGCTGCCAAACAAGGTTACACGCAGGGCTGTTGCTTTAGCAAGGGGGCAGACCGCAGGCGGCAGGTTTGGGCCATGGGTCTCGTCACGGGGCGTATCATGGAGGGAAGAGGAGGCCGCAGGTGACCTGCTGCAGCGTCGCCGCATGAAAGGACAACTAAAGCTATTTTGGAAAGAGGAAAGAGAAACAAAAAAAAAAAGTTGGGAGGAGTAGCACCCCTCAGGGGCAAAAGGAGGTACAAGGTACAGAGTACAGATCGGGGCCATTCTCAGCCGGCCGAGGCTCTCAGACACTGATACAACACCTCTCTCGAGGGCGGCTGAGGGCAAGTAAATATAACGCGGCAGGCTATTCCTGCCGCGCTTGCAACACCATGCCCGCTGCCGCGGCGGCCTGCCGCGGCGTAGCTGCCGCATAGCTGCCGCGTAACTACAGGCCTCACGCCTGGCCCACGCACACCCACTTGGACAGCGGGTAAGCGGCATGGCCGATGATCTTGTGGAGCAGCTCGAGGGGCAGGCGGGCCATGGCAGCCACCGCCACGGTGCCCGCATCCACGGCAGCATCCGAGGTGCCGGCATGTGCGGCGCAGCCCCGCGCCTCCGCCTCCTCCACCTCCTGCGGCCCCTCCACCGCCCGTGCCTCAGCCCAGGCGCGGCAGCCCTCCTGCTTGCGCTGCTTGTCCTCGCCCCAGCGCGCCACCAGCAGCAGCATGCGGGCGGCGGCCTTGAAGGCGGGGTGGAAGCTGGCGTGCGCGTCGGCGCTCCAGGGGCTGCGGCAGTAGGCGCTCCAGAGAGTTCTGCAGCGGGGGGCGGGGCAGCAGCAGTGGGCATGCCTGGGCGGCCCTCCAACCAGCATGCCGGCCGGGGCGCGCAGCGGCCCTGGGCGCAGCAGCGGGGCGCTCCCAGGCTGTGCATGCGAGGGCGCAGGCGGCGTTTGGGTGGGCAGAGGAGGTGGGCGGTGCTGGCTGGCTGGTGCGCTTGCAGGGGGCTGGCAACAGCAGGTCGGGGGTGGGCGCAGCAGGCGCACCTGTTGCGGCCGCTGACCCCCAGCCGTGCGTGCTCGTCGGCCTGCAGCCCAAAGAAGCGGCCCATGCGCCACACGCCGTCTGCGCCCTTGCCGCACATGTCTGCATGGGGGGAGGCAGGCGGCGGCGGTGCCGGCAGCTTGGAAAGCGCTCTGCTTGGTGAGTTGGTACTGCCGGCACGTGACTGGACACACAGCAGTGCCAGGCTCCCCCACGCAGCCTCTAAGGAACTCCCCCTCTCACGGGGCACCGCCCCGCCACCGCTGCGGCATGCTCACCGCGGTACACCCGTATGCGGTACCCAGCATCGTACAGCATGTCCATGATGCATACCGCCTGCGCCTCCAGCCGCGCCAGCGCGGCGGGCGGCTCGCGGCCCAGCACCGCGCCCGCCGCCATCTCCAGGTGCCGCTGGAGCAGCAGCAGGACGGGGCAGTTGAGCGCGCCCTCCGCATAGCTGCAGGGCACCGAGGGCGGCAGCTGGCCGCAGCCCTCGGACAGCAGCGCCGCCACGCCCTCCGCGCTGAGCGACCACACCGCGTGGCGCAGCACGCCCATGTCCACCGCCGCGCCGTGGCGCCGCAGCAGCAGCACGCAGCTGCGGTGGCCCGCCGCCGCGGCCAGCGCGAGCGGCGAGCGCTCGCCGCCGGGCATGAGCAGGGCGAGGTGGGGGGGCGGGCGCAGGCCGGGAGGCGCCGGCAGCTGAGGCCAGCTGGTCCAGGGCACGGTCTGGATGGGGCTGGCGCCCTGGCTGCACAGCACAGCACAGCACAGCACAGCACACGCCAGCAAGGCAGGCGGCAGGCACGTCAGGCGCACGCATCTGGGCCTGGCATCGCACCCAGGCCAAGCGTGCCTCCGAGGTCACACAGCGGCGGTCGGTGCGGGGTGCCGCAGCGGTTGCGGCGGGACAACGCAACGGGCTGCATCCAACGCCCCGCCACTCGCCCCATCCACCCCATCTACCACCACCACCACCGCCGCCGCCACCACTGTCCCCCCAGGCAACCGCCCCACCTCAGCATCAGCTGCAGCACGTCGTGCAGGCCGTGCACGGCGGCGTCGGCCACCAGCTGCGCCCTCAGGCGGCGATGCCACTCGGTGCGGCGCGCGGCGGCGGAGGAGGGGTGGATGAGCTCGGGGGGGATGGAGGGGGAGCCCCGGGAGCGGCGCAGCAGCCGTGCCAGGTGCATGCGCCTGCCCAGAGGCGACCACTTGCCGGGTGCGGCGGCGGCGGCGGCAGAGGTGGAGGAGGGGCCCGCGCCGGCGGAGCCGCTGGCCTGAGCGGCGCCGCCCGCCTCGGCGCCCGCGCCGGCCGCGGCCGAGGTGGAGGCGCCTGCGGCGTCGGGCGGCGCGTCCAGGCGGCGCTGGCTGGGGGGGCGCGGCCCAAACGGGTCTGTGGCAAAGTCTGCGGTGGAGTAATAGACGGACCGCCCCTGCCGCCGCTCCTGCTCCATGTGGGCTGCCATCTCGCGGTACCGATCCCCGCACCGCAGGGTCAGGCTGTCCTCCACGGTTCTGGCGGACGCCAGCTCAGACTCCGCGCGCGCCACCGCGTCCGCCGCCGCCGCCGCGCCCGCCGCGCCCGCCGCGCCGGCCGCCGCCAGCCGGCCGCGCGCCTCCTCCAGCCGCCCCTCCGCCAGCTGGCGCGCCTCCTGGCCACGCAGCAGCGCCGCCTGCGCCGCCGCGTGCTGCTGGTACAGGCATTCCATCCACGGCTGGCGCACCAGCTGGGAAGCGCGACCGCCGCCCAGCAAGGCGACATCTTTGGCGGGCAGGGTGGCTGGGCCCAGCAGCGGGGCATCCATGGGCGTGTCGCTGTCGCCGTCGCTGTCGCTCAGGCCGACGCCGCCCTCCTCCTCCTCCTCCTCCTCCTCCTCCTCCTCCTCCTCCTCCTCCTCCTCCTCGCTGTCGCTGT